CTTATACTGTACCTGTGCATTTTGTTTTTCTTGCCTAAATGTTGAACCTTACTCTTTTCACCATTGAATTTCATTTTGTTAGATAGTGTCCAATGTTCAAGTTTGTCCATGTCATGGGCATTTTTAGGTCTTGACTGGCATTTAGGGGTCATACTCTTAAAAATAACGGATAGGTACTGATTTAAGTCTAATTTATTTTTAACTAAACAATTCATGACTCATTGGGTCATTGTTTCAGACATGTTTCCTTACTAAATAGATAAACAGAATGACTACTGGTGGGCAGAATGACAGTGGGAGCAGGAATGACTTCCAACTTCTTGCTGGCTTTCTCATTGACTTTCCTTGAAGAAAGGTCGCAGAGAACAGTGGAAATGTCAATTATGCGGGTGCGGCAACACAGTAGCACTGAAGTGGCCACAACTTTGTCAAACTTCAGTCCCATAGGAGTTTTGTATTTTGGGTGCATTCTGTTACTGAGCCCTTTTATAGCTTGTTGGTATAAAAATAGTTGTCCTATAATGCACAGTTTTGCCCAGTTGAAAATGGCAAACAACCAGACACAAGAATTATAGCAGTATGTAGTTATAAGGTAGTATAATTATGTTCCAGTTCTATGTTTAATAATTTCCCCGTTTTGTAACAAAATACAACTTGGTAACACTTTTGACATTCCCTAGAAGCTGTCCACACCCAAGACTTTCAGTCTCAGATTCAACATCATTGCTCTACATGTTTACTCAGAAGAGTAAGCATTATTACATTTGATTTGTTTTCTATTCTCTCTTTTATTAAGGTGCTCAAGGTGGTGCATGTACCATTCTTTCTTGTCTTTCTCTTAATCTTATGAGGTATCTGGACATAGAATGCCTGGCTCAAAATCGCCTATGAGTTTACATGGCTAAGAATAGAATAGAAATGAGGTCTTCATTCTCTCAGTCCAGCAGTGTAACCACTACTCTATACTGGCTCTCAGAACCATTTACCCTCTCACTGCTATTCATATACACTCCAATATTGTTGCCTTAAAACACTATGATGGGTTGTCTGTGTTCATGGAACATGACAATGATTTTTTTCCCCTGGAGTAAACATGCATTCCAAATATTGAACCCTAAGTAGTTCTTCTAAGTTGGCACACTAGAGATTTCATTGTTTTGATATGAGTAAATCAATCTAAGTTCTGAATTTTGGAATTGCTTGTTTCAGCTGGGAAAAAAAACCTAATCCTGTGAAATGCTAAATGCCTTTGATTCAGGGATTTTGGAAGTTGGTGCATTGATATCTGTTTTTGCAGAGCTGAAGGGAGGCTTGTGTTTTGTTTTGTATTTTTCTTTACACATCTCTTGTATTTTTACAGATTATGGGAAGGAAAATAATTATAGCATTAAAGTGCTGGCAAAATGCCTCATCAAGCAAAAATGTTTAGTGACAATCACATACTACTTTGCAGACAATTACTTCCTTAGAATATCATTATGGGTTTCTCACTAAAAAAAGTTATAGGGGCTACAGAATTCTCAGAAAGACAATAGCTTCTTCTGCCCATTGTAGACCTCCTTCCCTTCCTCTCTTCTTTAAACCAATGGATGCCTTCTGCCAGAGCTTCATGTAGATGAAATGGGATGTAGTGGTTGAAAATTACAGTCTATAGTCCTACACCTCTACATGAAAGTAAGTGATGCTGGATATGTTGCAATGTACCTCCAAGCAAGCATACATCGGTTTAGGTCCTACCGGACCGTCCAAAGACAAAAGTTTCATCGACGGACCCAGACTATCGGGTCTGTGCGATGTGTCATCGTGACACTGGCTCCTCCCTCTCCTGATGATTTTTGAAGATGTCTCCCACCTGACAGTTGGGTGAATTATGATTGGATTATGGACTGGGGTACCAAGGGGAGGGGGATGAATCATGTATTGATATCTACTGCTTTCGTGGGCTTTTAATCAGATTCAGCTTTGTTTGCTTCTCATCGTTTATAATAAGTAAAAGTAC